GCCCCTCCGGGGCCCCGGCCACCCTCTTTGCCCGCCCCAGCCCCCCGGGATTAAGGCAGAGTGCCGGTGGCAGGCCAGGAGCCGTGCCAGCAGGGGTCATGGGCGCCCACAGCCCCAGGTGCTGGGGCCCAGGGGGGTGGGGGGGCAACAGCTGGGTGCCAGATGTGCAGCCTGGACGTGTAGCCCCAGGGCTCCCACACCACAGGAAACAGCCCCACCAGCGACCGCGGTGAGCCACAATGGGGGGACAGGCAGCTGCCGTGGAGGGGTCCCCACCCTGCTGGGCCCCCAGGACAGGGTGCTTCTCCTGAGAGCCGAGCCCAAGCTGGGAATGGCCCTGCTGAGGAGGGGCAACGTGGGGTGGAGGATGGTGATGGAGCCCAACAGGCAGCCTGGCCTGTGACACGGCTGGTCAGGAGCCACCCTCACCCCTGGCTCCCATGACACCGTGCCCGGGGACAGACAAGGGTGGCACCCCATACGCCATCCCTGATGGACATTGGCGTGGGATGGACATTGGCCACGGGTGCTGCCCACAGGGACACGCAGCAGGGACACGCAGCAGGGACCCCAGGACTCTGGTGTCCCCAAGGTGTCTCTGGACGAGGCCGCGAGGTCGCTCTGCCCGCACGCAGCCCTGCACATCTAATCACCGCGTGCCCTTGGCAGGCGCTGGCGCAGCCTTGACCGGGGCTGCCAAGCGGATGCAAGACAGTGTGATGGAGCCAGCAGTGCCACCTGGCACGTGCTGGCCTGGGATGCCCGGGCAGGGTGCAGTGATGTCCCGTGCAGCCACCACCCCCGTGCTGTGGGGCCAAGTGATCCCCGGGAAAACCAGCCCACTGATGCGGGGTGTGATCCCCATGGGGCACAGCCACATCCAGCCCTGCCACGTGCAACCGCGGGAGTCACCGGGCACCTGTCGAGATAAGCTGCTCCTGGCTGGGGCTGGGCACCCAGCCCTTTCCAGGGAGCCCACGATTGGCATTGCCCCACAGCTGGCATTGCCCCATGGCTGGCATCGTCCTGCTGCCTTTCCAGGGGCAGCCGGCCCTGCTTGCACCCCATGCATGGTGTTGGGGTGCCGGGGCTGGCGGGGAAGCGGGACAGCGACCCGAAGCCAGCGCCTAATCCCCAACAAAGCCTCCCCCATTCCTCACGCTCGGCCGGGCAGGGAATGTGCTGAGGCAGCGCCCGGGGGCACCATCCTTGCCTCTGACCTTCGCGGCGTGCCGGGGTGCAGCGGGGGCAGCGGACCCCCAGCACCCCCGGCGCCCACCCCGGCACTGCGGCGGGGCTGGATGACTCAGTGGGCTGAGACCCCCAAACCTGTCCGGTGCAAACGGAGCGGCTCAGTGGAGGGACCCCGGTGTCCGGCCGCACCGGCAGAGCCGAGGTGCCTGTGGGGCGGATGCGGGAGGGGAGCAGAGGCGCTGCCTGGCACGGGCCCCGGGAACGCCCGGTTTCGCAGAAACCGGCCGGCGGCAGCCGAGCCCGTGGGGGCCCCGGCCTCGGCGGAGGTCGTCAC